GACACATCATTTTTAGCAATATAAATCTGGTTGTACCCAGAATATCCATCTAATAAACTTAAAATTTCATTACCTGCAACGGCATCAATCATTATTTCCGCAATAGGCATGGGATATGCATCTTTAGGCGTGGCTGCATTCAAATCTCGAAAATCGATACATACCCTCATTTTTCCATTCTTTTTTATAACAGGCACAATGTTTGATACCCAATCAGCGTACCTCGAAGTACGAATGAATTTGGCCTTCAGCGTACCTTTGTGGGTTTTGTTTCACTGGTTTCTTCCCCAAAATCATAGGCAACCTATGTTCTACCAAATTTCGATCCAAACCAGGCATTTCTTCATAGTCCCAAGCGAAGCAATCTTTATGTTCGTGCAGGACCTGCACAATTTGCTCTTTAACACTCTTCTCCGCTAGTTTGCTAACATAGGTGATTCTCCTCTTTTCGATTGTACCCAGATTGACTTCCTCGAGAGGATCCTGAGATTCCACCTTAAGCCCATCATTTTCCATTTTCTCGAATCCTAGAGGAGCATCATCAAAGACACAATCAAGTCTTTCTTCGATTCCTTCCGAATCCCTTTTCTGCTCATCCTCGAGTCTCACTCTGGGCAACTCTTTCGCAGCTGTTTCGATTACCTCTTTTTGGTTTTTTGCTTTTTTTTCGGCCCGCAGAGCCGTTATAGTTTCGATATTCATCGAATGCGTGCCCCCTTGGGCTCTTTCGACTTCACTACCTTCCTCGGCCTCATTGGCCGTTCTCTCGGCCATGTAGGCCAAAATTCGAGCTAAGAAGCTCGAACAAGGATCTTGTCTCGTCATTCTCGCACTTGAGCCGATTCAATTTCGGCTCTGTGGATAACAAATCCTCTTCAAACATCCCAACAGAAAGTCTTCTTAACACCCTCTTCATCCTCCAAGACATCTGGGTCTGTGGCATCGAAAGGCTTAGTTCTCACGAATGCAGTAATTTGTTGATCCGCGAAATACATTCCCGTCTCATACTCTTTCTGATCTGCATCCAACACTTCCAATTGTTCATCATCATTCCAGAAAAATATTTTCTGGTGCACTGTCGAAGGTACTGCTCCCATTCCGTGGATCCATTCTCTTCCTAATAGTACATTAAAGTTAGCTTTCGAGGGAGTGACAATAAACATAGTGGTCCTCCTCACACTACCAATTTGCACGTTTAACAATATCATCCCTTCTGGTTGAGACGATTTTCCAGCATAATCAGAAATAAGGATATTGTGAGGTTTCAGATCTGCCAAAGTTTTCCCAAAACGTTTCAGCAACGTCTGTGGGAGCATATTTATAGCACCACCCCCATCCACTAGGACTTTGTTGACTTCAACTCCTTCGATCATAAGGGTCAACAGTAAAGGTTTTAGATGGTCCTTCATTTCTGGGGTAGCTGAATCGAACACTGCTGAATTGAACTTTGGAATGACTCG